TTTCACCAGGGACATTTATTATCATTCTTAATACCCTATTTTATAATATGATTCTGCCTTGCCTAACATAATAGCAAACTATGGCAGAGGTTTTTTTTATTCCTTGTTTGCATCTCATTTATAATATATGAAGTACTATAATTTAAAAGTGCTTCTCTGATGTACAATATTTCATATAATTCTGAGGGTTTTATGGCCTTCTGTTTGGATCATAGACGGTTTTGAGGACAGCAGCATTGAATGGTGCTTTCAGAAAGATTATTGTTTTGCCATTAAAGACTTTAACAAATTATATGACATTTAGATAAAATTTATAGCTTGTGAATACTAATAAGCCTTTTGATTGTCATTGGCTATTAAGTTTACAGTCAGCATCAGATCCCCGGGCTCTCCCTCCAGCCAGTAACATCATCTAAAGCACACACATAGTATAGATTGTTTTTTATATGGCGATGCAGAAGGTTGGACTTGATAATGTGTATGAATGAATACAGTGATCTGCAAATGATTTAATTGCTTCCAAGTCAGACACCAGGAAATGTTTACAGTTGATAATAAAATTTAAACTAATTCCTTCACTCAGATGATTAATATCCATCAAATATGCACCAGAGATACACATCATAGTCCCATACTAAACAACTTGTAATCCAGTGTCATAATCGAATGTTGATATTAAAAATTCACTTAGCAGATATTTACTGAGTACCTATCATGTGCCACTCATGGTTGACAAGGTGGTACCAATGGCTAATTTCTAGGGGTGGTGCTTCTTGGGAATTGTAAATATGTCCCCACATTTCATGGATTACTAGAGACTGAAATTGGAAAAGTGATTTTTATTTTTCCAGAATATAAATGCACAATGTTTTCCTAATTAGAAAAATGAAGGCCGTAGAATTTGATTTTTTTATATAATGAAAACAGATCCACATATAAAAATTTTTTTTCGCTTCAGTACCAATTTCTAAATCATTCTGAGGGGGTCTGTTTTTCATATTTTAATGCGTGTGAAGATTGCTGTAATGGAAAAAATACAATTTATGCAAAAATACCAGCTCTCAAATTATTTCCTCTATGGTATATGTTTAATTCAGGTGATTTGGGGCTTGGGTCCATTGTTCGCACTGTAACGGTGCTGCCTGACACGGTCTGGCAGTGTTTGGACACTTTCCGGTTATTGTAGGGAGAGGCCAAGGGTGCTGCAGGTAAACCCTAGGACAGTCCTCCATAACCAACATGCCGCTGTTGTTTGTTTCTAACTCTTTTGGCTCTTTGAGGGGTCCGCCATCCAACTCCCAAATAAATCACACACAGAGTCTTATTCTTCCATATAAATGCCCAGTTTTAGCTTGACTTGTTTCTAGTCAGCTTTTCTTAAATTAACCCATCTACTTTTTCCCTCTGGGCTTTTATTATCTTTCTTACTTGTGTATATCCTCTTTGGCTGGGTGACTGGGTGGCTGGGTGGCTGGCCCCTGATGTCCTCTTCCCTCTGTTCCTTCTTGTGTTGCTCTCCTTCTCGGTTCTCCTGTTTATCCTCTCTGACTCTCAGTTCCACCTGTCCTTTCTCCTGCCTTGCTATTGGCTGTTAAGTTCTTTATTAGATCATCAAGTGTTTTAAACAGGCAAAGAATCACAGCTTCATAGAATTAAAGCAAATGCAGCATAAACAAAAGCAACACATCTTTTTATCATTAAACAAGTGTTTCACAGCGTAAGCAGACATAGCACACCTTACAATAATATTCCACAACATGCCATGATACCATGACTGAGAAACTAGGCTTATTTATTTATGAGTTTGTTTTTTTGTTTGTTTATGTTTTTATGAGACAGGGTTTCTCTTTGTAACAGCCCAGGCCCTGGCTGTTCTGGAACTCTCTTTTTAAACCAGACTGGCCTCGAACTCAGAGATCCGCCTGCATCTGCCTCTCAAGAACTGTGATGAAAGGCATGTGCCAGGCCTGAGAAACTAGTTTGTAGTGTGTAGTGAAAGCATATGAACATTGTATGGAATACAGTGCAACTAAGAACGTGGTTTCTGGTTTCACGTATCTACTAGAAGCCTGTCAAAATTCTCAAAGAGGTCGTATATTGAAAATAGAGTTGATAGGTTGCAAAATTACAAAATAACCAGAATTAAACAAGAATAACCAGGTTTATTATAACCAGGATTAAAAAATTAGAGTAGGATTAAAGTACATGGAAGAATGGTTGTGGAAATAAGTTGTCTTCAAACAAGTGCTGTTTTTAGATCTCTGGCAGGTGTATGAATGAACGGACGGTGGAGGGTGGGTGGGGACATATTTTGGCATGGAACCTTATAGAATATTTGTCTGGTTATGGTTATCATAAATAACAGAACCACAATGGCTGAAGAGAAGAATTGTATTTATAGGCAGCTCGCCAATTCTTTACCTTTCTCTCCTTCCCACTCATCTCTAACTCCTAGAGTGTAGTAATAGAACACACCTCAGAGGATTGATAGAACCAAAATTGAGCCAAAGAATAAATAATTGAATATTTTAAGACATTTGAAATATCATAGAAGTTAAACATTCTTGGAGGTGGGGATGATAGTAAGCGTTTACCATGATAAATGTTTGTATGCCCTGATTGGACTCCTAAAATCGGTCATTTGGATAGCTTTTGAATAACACTGGCTGAGTTGGATGGATTGCCTCTGGTGCACTTTAGATTAACTATTGTTTTTAGTTTTTGACTTTTCATTATTCATGTGTGGGGGATTTAAAACCTGTTCTTGCATTTAAAAGCCCTATATGTCTGACTCTTGGGTGTAAGCCTCTTGTGGTAGGCATTGTTTATAATTCTGCTGTAAAGAAAAAATAAGAATCGGGTGCTGCTTTTAAAATGTTCACTGAAAGTGCATCCGTGAATAAGTAATGTGAAAAGAAAAAGAACTGTAAAATGTTTGCATTGCTGGGTTTTCCCTGTGTTTGAGCCTTCTCCATGCTGGAGGCAGTGGGCAGTTTCTTAGGATTAATTGTTGCTATTAATATATTATGAAGGACTCTTTTCAGTACAGGATCTACTTAGCGTTGGCCTAAGTCCCAGCAGATGATTGGGGATAAAGCTGCTCTCCGCTCACTGAGCATTTTTCTGGGAAAGTGTCTATAAAATTGAGCCTTGTTGCACCTGGTGACCTCCCTCTCTCCAGGAAGGAGGGCACGGGAAGGGTGGAGACTGTGCTCATTGGATTCAGAGGAAGCGGGGTTTAGCAGCCCAAGGGTCTTTACTTAGCCTTTCATGTTTTCCGTCTTGATCTCTGAATTTCAATGTTGGCGGTTAAGCCCAGGACGTCCATAGACACTTGGGTGCCCTGCACGTGTTAGCACAGATGCTTTAGAAAAAAAAATGAGTATTTCTCAGTAGGACTTCTAGCTATTTTAGGATTAATCTCAAGTATTTGGCTGCTGTCATGTTTCCTTCAGAGCTGCTGTGAATAGAAGTTGCTGGCATTAGCTCAAGACATGACAGACAACACTTTCAGGGGAGTTATATACTTAATATTCCTTTTTCCACTCTCCCCGTCACCCCCAAATATTCATGATCAAACTTAGAGTTTCAAATATGCAAGGTGAGCATTTTACCACCCAGCGTGTCTTAATCCATGTGTCGTGTAACTTTAAAGAATCTTTTAAAACAGGTTTGCACTGTCCAGTTACTTATATTATCTTTGCATGAAATATATACTATTTATATTTTGGTGAATGTGTTATGATGACCCTCATATTTGAACATTTACCAGATAGTTTGCTGGTTTCATATAGCATTGCTCCTGGAAATTTGTCGCTTCCTGGAAATTTCCAACAATTTGTTTGATTGATGAAACAAGATTTAAAAAAAGTTAAATAAACTCACTCCCAATTTTGTCCTTAACAAACCAGAATGTGTTTTTATATAATCCTCTCCCTTTCCTTGGGATATGACCAAGTGCCTTTTCCAGAACTAGCCCAGCCTTTCAGTGGCCACTCTGGCCTCACAGCACATTTTGAGCTTTTTCCATAGTAATATCAGCTCTCATTATCATTCATTGTACAAGTGAAAGCCTTGCTGTTTGCATTAATAATAGATTTTTTTTTTTTGCTAACTTAGAAGTCTGGTAGGGCTCTCAGTTAATTGGTTAATTTATGTGTATAAGTCTGCAGAACCAAAGCAACAGCTCCTCACACACTACCATCTAGTATTGGTGCATAACGGACCGTCCTATATTGGAGTCACTATGTCAGAAAAACTGCAGCTCAGTAACTTAGTGCTTGCTACACTCAGTGGACTGTGTCATTCTGAATTTTCAGCATTATTTAGATAAGTATAAGTCATATAATCAGAAAGCTCTTGCTATAGCCGACCAAAAGTTGAATTTGAGCTATTATGTACTGTCTGGAAACTGGAGATCACTTACCAGTTTATCAGTTTGTTTAGTGATTTATCGTCGGAAATGGTTTGTGGCTTTTAAATAAGAAAGGAAATGATATCCCACCTGCATGCAGAATATTCGGTTTTCAGTAGTGGAAGATACATGAATCAGAGGCCGTCCTACAGTGGAGGGAGTACAGACTCTGTGGTGATAGTCGGGTGCCTAATTAATCCCAACCCTTCTACCAATTGCCTATTTTTAGCCTCTTTATCTCCTAGTTTGTGAGTGCTGAGTGTCCTAATGCCCATTTTCTAGGCTTACAGTAACTGATATATGTGTCTCTGTCATCTGACACAGAACCTGGCATGACAGTCAGTAAAGGTTGTAGTAATTAAAATTTGTACCTAAAATACATTAAATTATTGGTCATTTCAGAGAAAACTGTTTTAAACGATTCATAGTATACATAAATGATCCATAGTATACGTTAAATGATTTTTACAGTGTTTATAATGACTGAAGTGGGGAATGTTAGCATTAACATCTAAAGCTAAGGAGAAATAATGGAGACTGTTCAGACTGTTCGACCAGCTAACATATAACTTTCTTCCTCCAACAGGCTCAGCACTGTGTAACTACAGCATAAAGCCTTCTGAGTACACTCTGGCTTCAAAATCTGCAGGGCATTGCCCCAAACTACCAGTCCCAGCCAGGTAAATCCTAAATCTAACTGCAGAGTTCTTAGCTTCTAGCCCTTGTTTTCATAGGGAAATCCATACTGCATTGTTCCGAGACAACCGTCATTTGATGATGCCTGTTGCTGGGGCCATTGCTTTGATTACAAGATTTGAAAAGTAGGAAAAGATGTGACAACTTTTTTTTCTTAATCTTTAAAAATATAGTCACAAACAACTTCTCTTGTTCTCAGATATTTTGAATTTCTTTCAGGGGCTTTTCAATATTTTTATTTCCATTCCATAATTTTTTAAGTATATAAAACTGTTGAATCATTGTCAAATCGGCAACAAATTTAGAAACCAATTCTCACTGTCCCTGTCGATGTTCTGAAGTTGATCCTATTAATACTTACTGAAATTGTTTCTTATTTAGTTTAAATTTTAAAAGCACGTGAATGTTTAGTCTCTACAGGTTATTTAGGTTATATTCTTCAGAGGTATTCTTAGTGTTAGGTTATTTGCCAGGTTTTATTTAAAATCTTTTTTTTAATTGTTTTTATTGAGCTATATATTTTTCTCCACTCCCTTCCCCTCCTCCCCCTCACCTTTCTACCCTGTCCTATGCTCCCAGTTTACTCAGGAGCTCCTGTCTTTTTCTACTTCCCACGTAGATTAGATCCATGTATGTCTCTCTTAGGGTCCTCTTTGTTGTCTAGGTTTTATCCAAAGTCTTACTTAACAAACGTTTGTTATTAAGTACTAACTGCGTGTGATAGACCAAAGATGCGGAAACGTTCTTTGGCGGTGGCTCTTGTACTTAGAAGGAAAGTAAACATTAACACAATACATAGATTTTTATTTTAAAGATACAAACACTCAAGCATTGTAGAGTATATTCTCAAAACTATGTATGTGTGTATATGTTTAGACATGCATACCCTTTGAAGTATCGATTTATCTTTCCAGTGTGACACAGGAAACCTCTAGAAAACTGAATAGCAGTCACTCAGTGTATTGCATTGGACTATCAAGTGAAAACTTAGAGATCTAACAACACGAAAACAGATCGTGTTGACTACGTTTAGAATTACGTAGGCTGTAGCTTGTGCTTTATGAATGTGGGATCAGGGAAGAATATATTTCAACTAAGGGAGTCATATTAGAGTTTACAGGAAACTTGATTATATATGGGATCCCAGGTTCAAGGAGAGATCCCCAGATTGTTCTCTGGACAGAGGAGGGGGTGCCTGAACCGGCCTTAACTTGAATTTTAAATTTCTTTTTTGCAAAGAACGAAAAGGCTACAGCAGTCAGATTGATTTCTGGCTCCTTTAGCCTTGTCAAGTTGCTATTGAAAATCAAAATTTAAAGCCTGTAGGCATCAGAGTAAAGGGGCTGCTTTAGGAGAAACTTGGGAAGGATTTAAACATTACAGCCTTAAACCAGCCACTCAGTAGACGGCATTCACGGAAGGGAAGGGAAGCCTGTCAGGGCGGCCACAGCAATGAGGCAAAGGAGATGCTTTGGATCTACTCATTACAGAAAACTCATTTAAAAACAGGCAGAGCTGGGCCTGGTGGTATGGGTCTGGAATCCCAGATACTTAAAGAGGCTGAGGCAGGAGGATCACAAATTGAAGACCTGAGCTAAGTAGCAGGTTTGAGGCTAAACTAGGCAACTTCGTCAACCCTGTCTTAGAGATACAGCTCTATAGCGCAACGGAGAAGAGAAAAAGAATATTATACACATATCTACCTAACTGCTAAAATTTGTTTTAAATGTATATTATGAGTATTCTCTCTAGGCTAAAACATGTATTTTTAAAAACAATTGGAAAGTCCTGGGATTATGAATGAAGTTGTTTTGCTCCTACATAATTGTGGGTGGGTGGGGGTGTAGCTCATATCACAACCCTCTACCTCCCCCGCCCCAACTTCTGATCCTACCATCTTGGGCAGTTGCTGATCCTTGTTGTCTGTCTGTCTGTCTGTGTCTGTCTAAATATCTATTTTAAAATTTAGACAGTCTCACTATGTAGCTCTGGTTAGCTCGAAACTCACTATGTAGACCTAGCTGGCCTCGAACCTAGAGAGATTCCCCTGCCACTACCGTCTAAGTGCTGGGTTTAAAAGTGTGTCCCACAGTACTAGCCCCACTACACATATGGGATGGGTGTCTGCAGAAGTCAGAAGAGCGTGCCGGACCCCTTGAACTGGAGCACTGATGTGAGTGTGGGACACTGAGATCACGGGAGAGCAGAAGAGTCTCTTAGTTACTGATCCTTCTCTCCAACCTCCTTTTACGTCTCCTCGCCCTTCCCAGGAACATAGCATCCTTCTAGGACAGAGCAGTATAAGCTTTGAGTTCAAACAAATTGTGAGTTCTAGGCTTGAATTTGAAATATTCTGTTGGAAAATAGAAAAAGGACACATCAGTCAGATTGAGTTCCAGCTCTGTCTTGTCAAGCTGCTTCTGCGAATCAGAATTGAAAATCTGTAGACGTGAAAGTAAAGGGACTGTTTTCAGTGATATTTAGTAAGAAAAACTTAAAATGTGTAGGTCTGAGTGACTTTGTCCCATCCGTTGTTCTATTTATCAGCTGGGGTAAGTCTCTTAACCTATATGTGAATCTAGTTTATCTGTGAATAAATGGAAATATTTTCAAAATTGTTTTAAGGCTTAAGATAATAATATTAAATGTCCATTTTCATTCTTGTCTCCCAGCTTGGGAAGTATTATCTCTTCCTACTTCTAGAACCTTCCCTTTGCCCAGACCGTTCTGGGTGCCCAGAGACCTGTCCCTGCCTTAGCTAAAGCAGCTGTGAACTCATTCGCAGTAAAACACTAAGAGCACATTAAATCAGGTGGCCCAAGATCTTTGGTGTTTTAAAAGCAAGTGGCTAGACAAGGCAACAGTGTATCCCAGTTTGTACCTCTGTTGGTGGGATGCCAATTGGAGTGGCGCTATGGGGAAGAGTCACCCTATATGCTTGCGGGTGTTCCATACACAGCAGTGGCAGAACCCAGTTTCTCAGCTTGTTCCCTATTTAGGTAACTCTTGATACCCAAAAGGTGGCTAGGTGCTGGGCAAGTAATAATGTAATACTGAGGTGAGAAATTAATAATCAAGAAAAAGTATTGCCTATTCATATTTTCAAGTGGGAGATTGGTGGATGAATTAATTTTTACAAATAACTTACTATGTACTGACCAACATATGGTCTCGCAAATGTAGTATAGCATTAAACCCTCAACATGGTAACCCTTACCATGTGCTGGCCAGCATCCTGTTTCTCTCATGTATTATATAATAACCCAACCCTCACAAAACCTGTGCAGATTTGCCCCTCATTTGTAGATGAGGAAAATGGAAGACGAAAGGACACGTAAATTACCCAAGGCCACACAGTAATTGCTGAGTCAGAATTTGAGTCTAGATCATATAGGATCTCTGCGGCAGTTGTTTCTATAGCATATGAAAGTGAAAAAAGGGAGAAAAATAAAACAGAGTGCACAAACAGTACGTTATATAACTGCTAGATTTTTTACTTATTTCCTGCTTTTTATATTCTACGGGGAAATCTTCCCAGAATCCTTTAATACCTTTCTTTTCTCAAAACGGAGAGCTAGAAATCATGTGTGCATGTTTTTAGCTCGGGTTCTGAAATAGCTATTGAGAAGCTGATCCCTGCCTTTTCTCATGAAGGACATGCCCAGGCCACTGAGAACTGTTTGTCATGCCCTAGGGGGCCCCTTCACCGTGACAGTTCAGACTCAAAGGGGAAGTAAACAGTGCAGTTTGCCAAGGTTTATCTTCAAGTGGCTAATTTGTTTTTAAATCTTTAGAAGACTTATTACAGATACATTTTGTTCTTATTGACTGATGTTTCAGTAATGTGAAGTGCTGGGACATATCAGAGCCACAGTGGCTTCTTCAAGATGCATTAGCCTATGGCTTTGAAAAAAGACAAACTTACTGTAAAGAAAATTCTTTATGTGTGCCCTCCTCATTAGAGGTTAGACAGTAGTGCAGACATATTCTCATGTGCCTTGTTCTCAGAAGTATGTGAAATGAGATGGTCCATTTTGAATTCATTGTGTTAAATGGTAAAATATAATACAAGCATTTTGATACCAGAAGTACTCAAAAGTATTCTGTGAGAGGAAAACGAATGTATATTATTCAAGGATGACATTGTCAAAGAACAAATTTAATCAATAAAAAGTTTAAATAAACTAAACTTTTTTTTAAAAAAAAGAGAAGAATTCAAAACTGATATGGTGGCTTATAAATAGCTTATAAATAATTCCAGGCACTGGGGAAGTTGAGACCGGAAGATTACTGTGAATTTGAGGCTAGCCTGAACTGCAGAGTGAGACTGTATCAGAAACCAAACAACAGCAATGAAATCATTGCAGAGGCCAGGAATGTAGTTTAGTGGTCAAGTCCGTAGCATATGGCCTCAAGTTCCCTTGGAAAAGAGAAAGGGAGGAGAGGAAAGGAAAGAAGGAAAGAAGGGAGCAAGGGAGTCAGGGGAAGGCAGGCAGACAGGCAGACAGACAGGGAAGGCAGGAAGGAAGAGAAAGGCAGGCGGGCAGGCAGGCGGGGCAAGCAGGGCAGGCAGGTAAGGGATTCTAGTGCTTTTTACTTCACAACTACATATTTAACTTTTAATGGATCCATGCATTCTTTCCTGCTTATCTTTTCGCTTTAGCTAAAAAATGTTTTTTACTATTAACTAGACAATGTGACTAACCAGTTTTTGGTATTTTTATACTTTTAAATTTAGAGATACCAGGTATTTTTAATTAATATACAATAAATTACAGGGTAAAAGGTTACTGTTATTTTGCCCCAGTTCTTTGAGGGGTTCTTCCAGAAGAACTTTTTGGAGTTGGCCAAGTGCCTTGAAAGGGAAAGTTGCACGCAGTCCTCACGTGACATTTCTTCCTAACTGGAAGGCTTGGGATTTTCAAAGCACAGTCTTTCCCTTTTCAAGCTGATCTCTTAGTCCTTACTTCACAAGGAAGCAAACATGGACCTTGCCAGCTGTGGGGCTCCTGAGAGTCAGGGTCAGGTCTTATGGCGGAGCTCTTGGGTGACAGTGATGATCCGAAGTGACTTCCTGAACTGTGCTCCTGTTCCAGCGAACGGAACACAACTCGGAGAGACAGTGGCTTGCGACTGCGGTGCCAGGGGAATTGGGGCTTTCATATCTGATAGGAACAAACAGTATGCAGGGCTAAGAAAACTAGTGGACAATATCAATGAGGAAAAGGACCTTAAGGTGTCCCTTTCAGGGTAAAGGTGGGGGCAAATGAGTTCAGCTGAAGCTAAGTTAGAGGTAGCAGGCCAGTATACACAGAGGGTAGACGATAATACAGATGGCTGCAGAACAGAGAGCATTTGGGATTTAATGATGTGGAGCCAGCCTTGAGTTTGTTTATATATATAATTGGAAGTATGCTTAGACAGAGGTACTAAAACAGCATCTCTCTAGATATCAGGATAAAAAAAAAACAAAACCTGTCATTTATAACCAAGTGGTTAAAGACTTCTGCCCCAAATCAGCCTCCTTTGACTTTGAGATTTATAGCTAATCCATTTAAATTCTTGTAATGTTTCTAGCTAGATCCATTTCACTTAAAAGTATTGTGTAATTTGATACCTTTTTTCATCTTTAATGACATAATGTTTGTTCAAGAAACAATTGTTCAGACTCTTGGAACCTCCTACAATAAAAAATAAGCATTAGGTCTTTGGCATTTGATTCTAGAGTGCTCATTTAATGCCATTTTAGAAGAATATACACCACAGCTACATAGAGATGGTTTTTAAAGAGATGAATATCCCTGTTATATTGTTACATCATATTTTTGGATACAGTTTACTGAAATATAACTAAGGTAAGGCTTCATCTTTAAAGTTACTTTGTTTCATAAAGTTTAGTAGTGTGAATGATGGTGCTTCTTGCCATTAGTAGCCATTTACCAACATTTACAGTTCACTCATTCTGATTTCAAAAGAAAATAAAATTTTGAGGAAAGAAAAAAAGGCAGTGTTTTGCTTCGGGCCAGTTACTGTTTTCCTAAGACTAGAAGCCTTCAAGTTTGATCCCAGCTGTGTAATCTTGCCTACCAAGTAGACTAATATTTAAGAAGGAGAACAAATTTACAGTACTCTAGTCCAGACTAGTATGTTATGAGACCTGCCCCCGTCTGATAATCAGTTCCAGTGGTCTGAGGTTTGTGTTAAGACGGCCAAATTTTAACTCAATTCACCCATGTGTACTTAGACATATGTATTTATATGTATGGGGTCTCCTGGAATCCTGATGTTCCCGGGTTCACAGTGTTGTCATCGGTTAAATGTGCATACATACGTATTATCCTCTCAGGAGATGAAACAGATCTATATCATTACAAGCCAGATTCAAATCATGGCTTATACACACCTATGTTCCTTCACAAGTCACAGCTGTAGTCATGGAAGCTTGAATTAAATCGTTGGCTGTGTTCCCTTTTTCTAGACACATATACCCCTTGTATATGATATATGCCTGTCCTATACATCACACGTGTCACATATACAAATAAAGTAATTTTCCGGAATATAGTTGAGTAGTAGAGCAATTGTCCAGCATGCCTGAGGCCCTGGGTTCAATTCCAAGCACTGAAAGGGAAAGAAAACAGCCCAGAATTCCATGCCCCTAATAAGTCATGTATTTTTCACTTTTTAATAGTGCTTTGTTCCCATATTTGTGTGTAATCTTTGATGCAGAGATATTTCCATTATATTATATGTGATTTCCCCATGTATTTCTGTATTATAAACATTTCTATAGATTAGTTCTCATGGCTGTTTTAAGTTGCTGTCTGTTAATGTCTTGGCATGCTTTTGTTTATATGAGGGTATATAAGCTTGTGCCCTAAACACCTTTATTAATATGAGGTTTCCTATGATGTTTTGAAAGAGGAAACATTCTATTAATGGTGGTCCATTTCACGTAAAAGCATGAGTGTATGTTTCCTTTTAAGTTGCTTTTGGCATAAGTTCCTTTTCCATTCAAGGAAGTGCATGCTTGTAAGCTTTGCCGTCTGCCTCTGGTAGGTGTGCAGAGTGGAGGAGTCTTGCATGCTTGGTTTTGCTTCTGGTAGTTCTCCATGCGTATGTGTTTGTGTGTTATTTGTTTTCAGGGGTGGGGGAATGTCTTCGTTGGAGTATACACTCCACCCTCTTTGATACGCTCTGGTAAGATTGGCATCCGTACGCACAGCAGTCACCTTCATAGTGCACAGCACTTAGCTCCCACGAGGAGGAGGGTGGAGTGTATTGCAGCCATATTCACCTTTCATTTGTGTGTTTGATGTGGCATTTATATTAAGTAGGAGTAATTTTTTTTCTGATTTTTTTTTCTTGTGTCACCAGTGCACCTATTCCATTCTTCCATCGCTGTGCTCCTGTGAACATTTCCTGCTATGCCAAGTTTGCAGAGGCCCTGATCACCTTTGTCAGTGACAATAGTGTCTTACACAGGCTGATTAGTGGAGTAATGACCAGCAAAGAAATTATATTGGGACTTTGCTTGTTATCACTAGGTAATTGTTTTTCTCATTATTAGCTGTTTCGTAGTACTGCAGAAGGCTTCTCTGTCTTTAGCCAAAATATGCATACAACTGGAGATAACTGTAAAGTGCTTGACTTCCCATGGCCAGAATAACTGTTTCAGATTACATATAGTTATAAATATATACATAAAAGTATGTATATGTATATATCTAAAACTCATGTCGCTTCTATTTTCTTTCATTAAAGACTTGTTTCCCCAAACTTTGGTTACTTTAATGATAGCAAAAGACTCCTTTTAATGATTTAGACATGATTCCAAAGGTATATTTATATATAAAAGGGGCTAAGTATTCTCTTATGTATTCTAAGAACATAGGTTGTTTTTGAAGTGTGTAATTTCATTTTAATGCTATAGTTCATAGTATTACTGCCTTGCTGGGAAAACTAAGAAATCTCCACTTGTTAGCCACAAGTTAGTCAGTAATTAGATAATAAAATCAGTTTTATTTTCAAGATGAAAAAAGTTACCTATGTTATTCTAAAACTGTGCAAGGGCATATCAGAGTTTGTACACCTTCTTAACTGGGAGATGTAAGCTAGCGACCAAACTGTTTCATTGCATAAGTAAAATTAATGTGTATGTATGTTTAATAGCAGTTATATTCATTGAGAAGGTACAGGCTTTATTTCCACCTTTCCTATCATTAGAGAGAGTTGGTGCTTAACTCAAAGTAACACTGTCCTTATGAAATTCTGTGATTTTCGAGGGGCTCCCATCTGGTTTCTTATCCCTATACATTTATTGTAAAAGTAGTACCTTAAAATTCCTGAGCTCAAACCTAGCCATGTATTTGACTTTGCAAATGACATGAAGAAATATGATGACTTTATATAACAATCACTTGGTTTTCTGAAACAATTGAATGCTTTAACCAAAAGCTATATACAAACTTGATGATTCATAACACTAATGTGAATTCGACTTTTATTAGAATATCTTTCTTTTGAGGCATAAGAGCATAATATAAATTCAAGATATCTTTTTTCATTTGTTTGTGGAATGAGCCTTTAAATCATTAAATATTTATAAAATATTTAAGAATTATGTTTCTTACACAAGGATTAACTGCCCTCTTTTTCAAGTATTTTAATTATCATTTTGGCACACTAGGATTTAGGATTTAGTTTGGAATAGGTAAGGGAGCTGGCTAAGTAACTCGGCCTAATCTTTGCTCTTTTCTAAGGAAGAGCTTTGCAGGCAGCCGAGAAATGAGGTCAGGGACATCTGGCCTTAGCAGGTTTAAGGCTCAGACCCTCTCAGAGTTATAGAGTTACATGTAAAATATTGGACAATGTAAAAATGCCGTCTAGTCTGTTGAATTAGAGACGTTTGTCCTGAGATGATACAGGCCGGTCAGGGCAGTGTAGGGCTAGCTGATTTCCCGCTGCCTGTTACAGTTTTGTTGTTGTTTACGTTTTGTTCACCAACATGACGTCATTCTCTGCACCCTCCCACCCTGGTGTGTGTTTGCATGTCCCCTGTCTTCCTGCTGGCGACATCGTGGGGTCACCCTGTGCATCTGCATGCAATCTTTCCTGTAGTTCATAACCCACACAGGGAGGACCTTTGGCTTTCAGAGATGGTACTTAAGTGTGTGAGCCGGAATTGCAGAAGCAGCCCGTTCCCTTTCTTGTCAGAATGGTGCTCGTGAACTAACAGCATCAAACTGGGCCTGTAGAAAAAACAATAGTTGTCTTTCTCTTTGTAGTTTCCTGTGTGTTTCATATGATATCCTTTGTGGTCTCTGTCTTCCTTGCAGTTCTGTCCATGATTTTGATGGTGATTATCAGGTATATATCGAGAGTGCTTGTGTGGATCTTAACAATTCTGGTCATACTGGGCTCACTTGGTAAGTGATTTTCTTCTTCTTTGTTTTCATTGTACCTAACTAATTTCATGGTAGCAAATTGAAATAAAAAGAAGAAAATGGAGTTTTTATTTGCCCGTGCTATTTCTTCTCCAGAATGAGTGTTTATTTTTGCCTTGGGGTGTCATAATTGTATTCCCTTCCTCACTTCACTCCGGTTAGCACTTGAAGCACATACCCTTTTCTGTGCACGTGTCTGTGAATGCGCGGCATTTAGTTAGCATTTTGAGCTCCAGTTGACTGTGTCTCTCCGTTTATGTCTGTAATCTGAATGGTGCGTTTGTGTCTGCTGCTGTCTCCTGCTTTTGTGTTTCCGTTTCTCTAGCGTTTCCATACACACCATTTTCCCTAACAGTCTTCATCATTGCCTTTGTATCTAATGTATTTCTACTTCTGCGCTTGGTAATCTGTGTTTGTTCATTTGTGAAATACGCTTGATCCTGTGATTGTTAAAGGCAGAAATGATATGTTTTGCTTTTCCCTTGCTTCCCTAACTTCCTGCGTGCCCTGCTCCCTTCAGCTCATTAGTGCTTGAGACCTTGTTAAATAATCCCAGCATTTACAATCAAGTTATTATTAAGTTTAAAATATTTCTATATACTGTGTCTTCAGAATTTATTTGCCCTTGTCTTGAAAGGCCCCTGACCTATGTTTGCATTTCAGGTTAGGTTTCTTGGACTAGTATTAGTTAGACCTGCTGATCCTGTATCCAAAAGCCTTTCGGAATTGATAATTTGGTTCACCTTTGTATTGACTAAATTCAGGTGATTTATTCATGAGGGACTTAATGGATTCTGTGTTTTCCTAGTTCTTGATTATCAAGTATTGTCTTTACCTTTGCATGCAGTTTGGATTCGGTGGGCTGAACTGTGTAGGCACAGAGTGCCCTGAATGCATTGAATGGAGCTATGTTCAGGCACATATGTTCCTTCAGGCCTGTGCATTGGATGGAGCTATGTTCAGGCACATATGTTCCTTCAGGCCTGTGCATTGATTGGATAGAGCTGTGTTCAGGCACATATGTTCCTTCAGGCCTGTGCATTTCCTCCAGAAGTCTCAGAAAGACCATATTGCATTTTGTTTCTTTGCCCGATTCATCCCTTACAGTTTTATATGAATCTTACTGCTGCCTTAATAATTTAAAGATTTTAAAAAGATAAATCTGGTTCCTATCCATGCCCGTCTTTTGGGGACAGCTCTTTTACACCTCTCTAAAGGTGTTTTTGTTTCTATATTTGGTCATTATTCCTGTCCCCGAGGCTTTTTCTTCAGGTCATTGCTTATTCCATGAATATTTTATGGTTTTTAAACTGTCTTTTAGGAATTTTATTGTTTTCTTTTGTATTGGGAAGAGTTCCTTATGCTGACCCTGCTTCCGGTGGGTGTTAGTTTTTCCACTGGATAATAGGAAGGGCCCTAGACTTGTTACTCCAGTCCCATTCTATTTTTCCTCCTCAATTGTGTTTTCTTTTCACCTGGCAGCCATTTGAATCTAACTCATGTTCAGACGTGTAGCTGTAATAATCGAAATCTGCCATTTAGTGCACATGGTATTTCACGTGACTTAACTTTCCTCCTTTCAGTTTTATAATTTGTAAAACTAATAGTGACCGCTTAATAGTTGGAGTGGGTAAATTAGGTCACACTGTCAGGATCCTCAGGGGTGCTAGCGCAGGTTCTCAGTGCCTGCAGTGAGCAGCAGCTCCTTAGTGTTCTTGCCATTCATTCCACTCTCCTAGGGCGTCAGCTCCTCTGAACTTCCTATTCCTGTTGTTTGTAGAGAATGTAATTCCTTCCGTTTTCTGGTATGTTGAACAGTTTTCCAAGCGATTTCCTGGTACCTTGGGATGTCAAAAGGGAAGAGTTTGTTTGTTTTTTGAGACAGGATTTCTCTGTAGCTTTGGAGCCTGTTCTGGAACTCCCTCTGTAGACCAGGCTGGTCTTGAGCTCACCTGCCTCTGCCTCCCGTGTTCTGGGATTAAAGGTATGCATCACTATATACTTAGTTGGTTTGGTTTCTTTACATTTTCATATGGAGGAAAATTCATAGTTGGTATTCACTAACCAACATGATAGGGAGCTTCCTTTGGAGTTAGTCACTCAACAGATGCGGATCAGGTTGGTAAGCGTAGATTTTAGTCCAGTTTTTGATCTGTCAGGCATTGCTGTATTACTCTCCCCACGCTCTGCTTTGAATGTCAGTTCCTCATTGTAGCCAGTAACTCTTTACAGGTAGTCTGGTCCCCATCTGTCCCTGCGCCCGTGCCTCCTCGCACGGCTCTCTTGCAAACTTTCATGAAGATGGCTCAGTGGTCTCTTTAGGGTCAGAGAAGAGCTCTCCAGCCAGTCCTGTCTTACCTCAGCCTTAGACTTTTGCCCGGAGAACATTTTCCTTAGGGACTTATAAAGTAGCTCTTTCTCTGTCTTTATTCTCTTGCCCAGACAGGTCTTCTCAGGGAAGCCTTGCTTATCTGTGTTAAAAAAAAAAAAAAAATTAGCAGTGCCTTTCTAAACCAAGTACTATTCTTCCTTTTAGATTTTTTCCTCAGACTTAACATTCTGCTGTGACTTACTTCCTGTTAATTTCTACTTCCTCATTGCTGTCTAAGCTCAATGAGCAGAGAAAGTGGGGACTTGTTTCCTATCCTGTTCCCTTTCCTGGTGGATAGGTGCTAAAGGAATGCACTGAGGGAAAATTTGGCTATTACAGGCAGCAGGCTTGCCTTTTCTTCGGCCTCCTTTTTACATCTGAACTAGCAGTAGAGGTAAAGGCCTTTATCCCCAGAACCCACTGCCATCAAAGGTCTCCTGCTTTCCTTCCTACCTTTGGTGAGAATTACTGTCTCATCCCCTTTGTTTGTTTGTGTGATCACTGTGCAAATATTTAATCATTTGCATGGCTGTCCGCACTAGGCATTGGTGTTATGAGTTTCCCTTGGAAGTTAGCTGCTGTTACTGTCCTCAGCTTCATAGTCAATGGTTTATATTTGAAGAAAATCTATTTGATACAGCAAAGGATGGAGATACTTAGTATGAAAGCTACTTTCCTTCTAATGCTTCCAGAGAGTTGGGCTTGCATGCTTTCTAGGTAAATGGGTTGTCACTGTGTCTCATTCATTCTGTTAAAAGGTGTAGGCCCAGAAAATTGAGCATATATGTTACATATTTTTGTATGGATTTTTTTTTGGCAAAAAAAACCAATTGTTGTTTATCTCTAGGTGGCACAGGTGTCCTATGGTGGCTATATGCAAAGCAAAGAAGGTCCCCCAAAGAAACAGTTATTCCTGAACAGCTGCAGATAGCTGAAGACAATCTGCGGGCCCTCCTCATCTACGCCATTTCAGCTACAGTGTTCACTGTGAGTTGGCCGGGGGCGTGGTACAAACATTGCTCTCAGTGTCATGTGTATGGTAGCAGGTGACCATAAATGGAACAGAAACTCACTCAAGTCCTTGGATTCCTGCCCCATTGCTTAGTTTCTATTCAAAGTCTGGTAGAGGCTTCTCTAAGTGACGAGTGTTCTTTGATGCAACAGTTTGTTCTGCCCTGTCTGCTTTCTGAGATAAATTTTCACCTGGGATGTTTATGTTGTCGTTGCTAATGATGTATTTCTTATTGTTGTAATATAATTACATTTTAAGAAACTATTGTCCGTACTTTTAAATAGTTTATTAAGATTGAGAATACCATTCCTCTTACTTGTTCATTCATTATTATCCATTTCTTTTATTTAAAACTTAACTTTTAACAGTATATGTTGTATTGAAAATATGAGTCAAGTGCACTGTACTTAGACATTTGTTATTCAATAAAAACCTTAATGACTAGCCTATAGCCAAGTGAGGGGTGATCCCAAGCAGGTTTTGCTCATCAGTAAGACTAGTAATAACAATAATGCCACTTAAACTGTGGGCTCCAAAGATATTTGTTAATTGTGCTTCTTTAGCTATAATTCTGTGTGCTAGTTTCTGTAGGGAGCGGGTGGAGAGTGAATAGACAGATGGTTGTTCTGGTCTCAGATCCCACTTAAGGAGTTCCCATTAACAAAGGGGATAAATAAAAATAAATGCCCCCCTTGCTTTGAGGTGATGGCATATAACACTCCCACAATTTCTCAGAATGATAGGCACTTAGCTACGCAAATGAAGAATCTTAACCCTGACTGACAACATTCGTTGCTACACACACACACACACACACACTCACACACACACACACACACTGAAGATATCTCCAGGACCTTGCATTGCTAGGCAAGCGCTCTACCACTGAGCCAGATCCCCCACCCCAACAACACATTTTGATTAGTAATTAGTGGGGAAAGGTAAAGTTGGAAATTCCTCTGTGAATGCACTGGGAAAGCTGAGTTAGAACCACACAAAGAAGTAATCCTTTCCTTTCTTCCTCGGCTCAGGTCATTTTGTTCCTGATAATGCTGGTAATGCGCAAGCGCGTGGCTCTCACCATCGCCTTGTTCCACGTGGCTGGCAAGGTCTTCATACACTTGCCGCTGCTCGTCTTCCAGCCCTTCTGGACCTTTTTTGCTCTTGTCTTATTTTGGGCATACTGGATAATGACACTTCTTTTCCTTGGCACTACCGGTAAGAAGAAATGTGACTTCTTCCTCTTTTCTGTGAATCTAATTTACAGTCAGATATTTCAAATTATCAGAGTGGGTTAGGGGTGTGGCTCAGGGGTAGGGTGCTTGCCTATGAATGAGGGCCTGTTGATCCGTAGTACACATGTGTACACACACACCAGTCCAGAGGGATGCAGCTCTTCATACATTTGTTGATGAAGATGCAGTAACCATCAAATCTAATAACAGGGTCTTCAATAACTCACTCCCTCTTTGTGAGTTTGTTAGCAGATCTTAGCAGTTTGCATCTAGGCTAGCTAAGACCAAAACTGCTTCTTAATTTTGAGAGAGTCGTGTATTTTAAGTGAGTTCTCAATTTAATCAGTTTTGGATCCATTCTGAAATGAATGAATGAATTCATAGCCTCTCTGCAGTTGCTTCCCAGTCCAGAGTCATCCTGGACTACAGTTTTGTAGGTAAGCTCTAACTTATTGATAGCTGAACTTGGTACCAGATGTTAAGACACAGGTATTAATTTAATTGATTGATTAATTAAAGTAGTGTGTATAAAGATAGTAAACTTGTGTGAAGCATCTCTGTCCAGTCAGCTTGTACTCACTAAATGAACATAACATTCATTGTTATGCTTAGTTAATAGCTTAGATCTATAATGACTGGATAAATAAAATCTGGCAAAAAGAAAAAGCCCTGAAGTGTTTGAAAATTCATGCCTAAATAACCGATAGTGGAACTAGAACTATATTTAAATAGAGTATTTTAAACGCTTTCTCCAATGCCTAATGTGTAATTGGGTAATGTTAAATTTCACAGTGTGCTAAGTGATCACAATTGCTGTCCCTTAATTAGTGAACAGTACTAAGAGCCCAGCAGACTTGTGCCCAGGAGTGGCACCTGTCCCACAGCCTTGCTGATCTCCTACATTCGGTGTCTATCCATGTGTCTTGGTTTCTGCTTTATATGGTACTTCTTTGCTTCCCTGACATTTTCGTAGGCAGTGCTGTTCAGAATGAACAAGGTTTTGTGGAGTACAAGATTTCTGGGCCTTTGCAGTACATGTGGTGGTACCACGTGGTCGGCCTGATTTGGATCAGTGAGTTCATTCTCGCGTGCCAGCAGATGACTGTGGCGGGGGCCGTGGTGACGTATTATTTCACTAGGTGAGACTTTTTACCTGTGAGAAAACTCTGGTTCATTCGGTAACCATGTCTACAAGGGAACAGAGTGGGGGGGGTGGGGCAGGCGTGACAAGATGGTACAGTTGCTGACTCTGGGGTTGGGTATTCCAGTTCCTCACACTTTCCTGTGATTGCCTAACAGCCTGTTTGGGGCAGCAGACTATGGTGTAACCTAAACTGCTTTCTGGAAGAGAGAAAACCTTGTTGCGTGTCAGATGTAAAAGGCTGTTAGAGGCAAGCCTCGCTTGCTTCTCTTAGAAGAACTGTTGTGTAACCAACCACCTTACTCACTTCAGGGCTGAGACCTAAATTGATAAGCCACACAGTAGTCTCCTGCAATGGGCTACCAGTGGTAGACTTTTTGTTTGTTTTGTTTTTGAGACAGAGTTCTCTGTGTAGCCCTGGCTGTCCTGGAACTCACTCTGTAGACCAGGTTGGTCTCAAACTCAGAGATCCGCCTATCTGCCTCCTGAGTGCTGCCACCACACCCAGCCAGCTGTAGACTGTTTTTTAATTTCTGTTTTCTGATGATATAATTTATTCCTCAAATATTCATTAATAAGAACTTTTAAAACCCAGCTTTATCTAATAAAGTTTTAGAGCATAAAGTTACAGAACCGCATGAAACGAAACGCAAGTTACTACTGTAGAGAAACGAAACTAAGTTTGTGGCACCTTCACGTTTTGGGCGGTTACTTTGCCATCTTATCCTAAAGCTAGGAAATACTACAGTGATTTTTGTTTCCCACTCCTTCAGATTCCAGACCATTTATATTTATATTTGTGTTTTCTCCATGCTCTAGGCTTTGTTTTAATTATCTTTCTGATCATTTTTTAAATAGGGATAAAAGGAATTTGCCATTCACACCTATTCTGGCATCAGTGAACCGCCTTATCCGTTACCACCTTGGTACTGTGGCAAAAGGATCCTTCATTATCACCCTAGTCAAAATCCCGAGGATGATCCTCATGTATATACATAGCCAGCTCAAAGGAAAGGTAGGGGTACAGGCGGGAGTGGGGGAGTGGCCAGGCTTTCCTGGGAGTATATGTGCGTTGGGGTGGGTGGTGTAGGGGTGACTTAGGTTTTCTTGGGAGTGAACGTTCATGGAGGGCGGTGCAGGGGTTCGCCACCTTCCCTGGGAGCATACGACAGACCTCATTTCTGCGTATAGTAGGATATCAACTTCTGAATGTCTTCCTCGGAGTCTGAATGAAGTGGGATCAGCTCTTCTAGTCTCGCACGTGTGCATTGCACACGCCCTGGAGTGTCTGTCTAGTCACTGGTCACTGGGGGTATTGAGTTAGAAACTTGTTTCTACCCTGTGTCTTTTCTCAGTACGTTTTTGATAAACCCATGATAACTGTACATGCATATGGGACGCAGAGTGTTCTGATACATATGTTAACTGTTCAGTAATCAAGTCAAACTCTTTAGCACATCCAAACCTTGCAACATCACACCATTGCTCATAGCCCTGTAGTAAGAGCATTCAAACCCTCGTGTCTAGGACAGTACCGTTAGCCAAGTGACCCTACCATATGACAGTGCACCGGAAGTCAGCAAGTGTGACAATAAGTCTCTCACTGCGGACAGAAAGGAACGGGAACAGTGGTCTTCAGCATTGATCTAGGAAAGGATTTTTTTTTTTAACAGAAAAGCATAGGCGACAGAAGTGAAGGCTGATAAATGAAACGATCCCAAACCAAAAGGTTTCTATGGCAGAGGAAGCATTTAAAAGACCGAAGAGGCAAGAGAGTCTCGCAATCCTTACAGCTCACCAAGGGTTGCTATCTGGAAGATAGGAGTTCCCTACCTGGCTTTGGGAATAGTGTGGGGTTCAATGTAGTTTAGCTCAAAATCTCCCTCTACCTGGAAACCAGTTCTGATTCTTTTTCCCACGCAGCGTTCTCTTTCTGTTTTCCATCTCTCAGCACATTGTCAGCCACGTTCTGACTCTAACCTTTGGGTGTTTAGCATTGATTTTGTCTTGTTAGGTTTTAAATTCCTTGCTGGTCCTATATGCCTTTGCTTTTCCATATATGCAATCATTAGTAAATAAATAAATACTGATTTGAACTATTTTTAAGATGATTCAGCCATTGTATTGAAAGAGGAAAGAAATGGCCGTGGAGGCTTTGAAGCTTTAGATTGTGGCTTTTAAACTTTTGTCTTTCTAGAAAAGTTGCATGCTTGATGATTAGATTTTTGCTTGCGTGTTTGTTAATTATTTTACTTTTTTCCTCTGTCCAGGAAAATGCTTGTGCACGATGTATGCTGAAGACTTGCATTTGTTGCCTTTGGTGTCTTGAAAAGTGCCTAAATTACTTAAACCAGGTAAAATATCTTCATTTGATTCTCATTTTCAAGTAGATATTAGTTATTTCTTCTTCCAAGATAAAATAATTGAACTTAATTGAAAGAAATTGTGGTTTTCTTCTGGTATTATGCATTGTTCCTTGACCGAATATGCTGCAATCCTATTCCTGTTTTTAAACTAATGTATGTGCTCACTGATACCATTATTATATTAATCTTAGTTTTAATACATAGGTAAACATGTCATTGGATTCATCTTTTTACAAAGATAATCTCTTAATTCACATGCTTATTTTTTTAATTTTCGTCTTTGCAATATTTTAAATACTGCTTGAAAGCTTTCCTTTAGAGGAACTCTGTTATGGGTTCCTATCCTTTTTAGCCTCTGATTCTTTGAAACCACTTCTCTTGATAGAGATAGTTTGTTTTGTTCTTTTGTTTTGGTCAAACGGTTACAGCGCTACAATATGGGCCTGAGGAACATTACCAGAGGAAGTTCTATTTCTTATCTGTCTCTGTGTGTGCATGTGTCCATGTCTCTGTGCGTTCACATATGTGGAGCCATGAGGCTGGTATCTGGTGTCCTCCTCTTTTCTGTCTGTGTGTGTGTGTGTATGTGTCCATGTCTCCCTGTGCATTCACATGTGTGGAGCCTTGAGGTCAGTGTCTGCTGTTCTCCTCCATCACTGGCTACCTGTGTTTTGAGACAGCGTCTCTCACTGAACCTGCAGCTTGCTGATTCAGTTATGCTGGCTGGCCAGCAAGCCTTAGAGAGTCTCCTGTCTCCCCAGTTCTGGGAAGGTGCATGCCACTGTGCCCAAATTTTTACCTGATTCTAAGGATCGAACTCAAGTCCTCATGCATGGCAAGCATTTTACCGATGGAGTCATCGCCCAAACCCAGGAGGTATAGCTTCTAAGGTTGACTGAAGAAGTAAACAGTTAGGGAAGCAGGTTAGGACTCCCTCTGCCCTTCTACAGCTAAACAAGTAGGACTTGCTATAGAGGTCTCTTACCATTTAATTTTTGTTGTTGTTGTTTATTAGTATTTGTGTGTGTGTGTGTGTGTGTGTGTGTGTATGTGTGTGTCCACGTCGTCGTCATGCACATGTGGAGGTCAGAGGACAATTTTATGGAGCTGATTCTCTCCTTCTACCTTTAGCTGGCTTCTAAGGATCAGACTCAGGTTGGCAGGCCTGCCTTGCAAGCACATTTGGCCTCTAAGCCATCTTGCCAGCTCCTCCCATCTTTTTTTTCCTCTTCATTTTTCCATTCCCGGAAAATCAATTGTAATGTGTCGATACCCTCATCCAACAGGTCAAAGCGAAATTGACTTTCTTACTATTCACCTCTAAGTGATTGACTTTTCCTTCGTTTGCCTCTAACATTGCCTGTTAGCCAGAAGGTGGTAGTTCCGTAGCAATGGCAGTGAGCATACCTGGGCTTTCCTTTATTGAGCTCTCTAGCTAACACAAGAAAGTAGGCATAATGCTTCATTATATTCACTAAGAGTATATTCAAGATATTTTTACAGGTCATATTATTATCCATGGACATAGAAGTGTTTAGAAACTCATTTAAAAATAGTAACACCCAGAACAGCCTGAATAAAGACCTTTAAAATTTGGCCTGAGACCAATTGATAGACATACTAAAAGTCATTGTCCTTGACTTTTATTCTTAACGGAAGTAGCTTGTCCTCAGGGAGATGTGCTAGGACTGTCTCTCTGGTCTTGGTTCTTAGCGCCTGCCCCAGAACCCTTTGAGTATTCAGTGTCCGGGTTGTTCTGGAATGGCTCCCTGCTAGCACTCAGCTGGCCCTCGATGGTTCTGCCTGGACATCATTGGTAAGCTTCTTCTCATCGTCCAGTCCTCTGCTGAGCTTCTATAGCAACGAGCCAGGCCTCTGTGAGAACACCAAGGAAGTGACTCTGCCCTTCTTTATCTTAACCTGTAGACTGACCGCTGCTTGAAGGCAGAGACCTTGCTGTCTTCTCAGAGGCTAGCAAAGCGTTCTTAGGGCCGTGGTGTCCGTTATCCCTGGGCCATGGTTTGCTGCTGCTCTAGAAGGTTTGCAGAGCAGCATTGGTACGCCATTTATTATTGATAGAGTGGAATTGTACAAACAGCCACCTATGAACTACTTCTTGTTCTCCAGTGTTGGCTGTGACATGAAGGTGACGGCACATCTAGTCTGTCTGATTCACATGTAGTGCAGAGATTGTTCCTGGCAGAACATGTTTACCTTTGGGCTTGGGACCTTGCTGGTCTCACTCTACTCCGGCAGCGTGTGGGACTAACTGTTTAACATAGTGTGCTGGCTGGTGAGCTCTTAGTATCATACAGCTTTTTTTCAGGGAGCAGGACATTTTTTGTGTACCACAACACACACGTGCCCAACATACTTGGTATTCTTTTACATTAGCAATTCCCCAGTACAAATCTAAATAGGCGGTATTTCCTGGGCTTTAGAAGTGAGAAAATTGAGACTGAAACGTTGTAGCACATTGCTTGTCCTCCAGGTGGAAGGAGTTTTTAAGCCTTACTTTGCCTGGTCCTTTTCATATCTCATACTACCACTAATAGTACATGTATTTTGTGTGTGTGTGTGCGTGTGCACGTATGTGTGTGTGTGTGTGTGTACTTAAAGAGTGCAAAATATATTTTTATAGAAAATATTCTAACAGCTCACATTTCCTTGTTTCAAACTATAGACTATAGCAAATAATGGATTCTCAGATGAACTCAGAAGCATTTTTCGTTTAGTTAGCAAGGCTTGGATCCTTGCTGGAGGCCGCTGTAACAGTGTTAACAGAGGAGGGGGGATTGGTACATGAAACCTCCTGACTCAAGGGGACTCCTGGTGGAGCTGGAAAGGGGGTACATCACAGTTGAACCTGACTTGTTCCTATGAACCTAATTGGCTTAAATAGGATTTTCTATCTAGGAACCGTGGTTCCGCCTGTAATCCTAGCACTTGAGAGGCTGAGGCAGGGTGATAAAAAGTTCAAGATACTGAGTGTGTTATAGGCCAACTTGAGATATACAGTAAAACTCTGTTTAAAAAAAATAAAAAGATGATTAATTAATTAGAAGTTGCCTACTTTTCTTAATTTTTGGACATTATAATGATTTTTAAACCGGGATGCATTTTTATTAAGTTTTTTTGTTCCATTTTATGTGTATGAATGCTTTGCCTGCATATATGTAAGCTTCGTGCCTGCAGAGGCCAGAAGAGGGTACCAGATCCTCTGCTGCTGGGTTTAATGGACAGTTGTGAAGCTGTAACTCACCACTGGGTGCTGGGAACCGAACCTGGGTCCTCTGGAAGAATGTGTTGGTGTGGGAGGGTATTTTCTCCTGGAAATGCATTGTTAATAACTGGTTCATAGTCTCTTTATCATATCTTATAGTAAAGAAGATTAGGGCTGAAGGTGTGGGTCAGTGGTCGAGCATTCACCTAACAAGTACAAGCACTGGAAAAATAAAACAGATAAGGAAGTAAGACTTTTCTTTTCAAGGGCCTTACATCCCAGATCACTGAAGACCTCTTCTGGTAAATTATTGCGTTGAAAAATTGGCCAGGCTATAATCCAAGCACTGTGGAGGTAGCGGCAGGGGGATTTGAAATTCAAGGCCATTCTTGGCCCTATAGCAAGTTTGAGATCAGTCCACACAACAAGAATGTTTATCTCAACAACGAAATAAATAGATCAATAAGAGATTTGTGAAGATCTGGGGCCATAGCTTATTAGATCACTGCTTGGCCCATTTGTGCTCTAGGTTTGGTTCACGGCACCTAGGTAGGAAGTTAAAAAAAAAAAGAATTATAACAAAATATTATGCTAAAACATCAAAAGCTGTAAAAACTTGAAATGAGCACTTTAGGCTTTTGTTTCTAAAAGGATAAGGAAAGGGGTCCTGTAACCTGTACCTAGCTAAGCATGGACTCTCAGCAGTACTGAAGAACAGAGACTAGACAGTTTCTTTTTCTGGAAAGAACCAGAAAATATCTGGGTCTTAAGGGCCATGTGGTCTTAGTCATAAGTGCTCATTTCTGCCAAATTTTATTAGTACATTGTCCTATAAAACCTTGTTTTTGAACACTGCCAGCAGGCCAGGCATGGCCAGAGCCCTCAGGTGGTGGCTTGACTGTCTCTGCTCTGGAATAAATGGCTAGATGGGTATTCTTATGAGTGCTTAGGGAGCCAGTGAGCACTGGGAACCGTTCTGTGTTCTCTGAGAGCAGGTCTGGCTGGAACAGTTGCTTCCCATAGTTTTCCAATACAGTGACTTTAACACAAGTTCAAAGGATGGTTTATTTTTACTTCACTCGGGCATTTTGCAGAATGTTTCAAAAGGAGTTTTCATAGAAGATAGAAAAACCATGTGGAGCACTGCAGTTCAGTGGTTGATTCTTTGGTGCTGCTGTCTTCTAACTGATAAGACATGTGGGCAGATGGCGGTGTAAGGAAGCAAGACGTGAATGATTGAATGATTGAATGAATGAATGAATGCTAATAGAAAAATAATATTGTGATTTAAAGATATGCTGTATCTTTTAGCTTTTGAAATAAGCATATTCAGGGAGTAAATTATCCAGTTTTTGTGATGACAATCTTTCTCTCACAGTCGTGCAGAGTTGCTCAGAGGGCTGTGACTCCCCACTGACACCACAGGCAGTGACCTGTTCAGTTACACTTCTTTTTCCTCAGCTCTGGAACGCTCTGCTTTTTTCAGCCAACAAAGAAATGGTTAGCAGTGCAGCCTGATCTTCCAGTCACAATTCGAGACATCCAGGAAAGTTTAAATTATGTGTAGTTTCCGAAAGACAGGAAGTTCATGGGTGTCGACTGTGTGTGTGTGTGTGTGTGTGTGTGTGTGTGTATGTGTGTGTAAGTGTTTTTACAGGGCTAAACTAAGAGGACTGGAAAGGGGCTCCTTTGACCATAGCAGTTTCCATCCACCCATCTGTCCATCCATCCATTCATCCATCTGTCCATCTATACCCCATGTTCTGTGCCCAGTCTTTACGTCTCATGAAAGCTGTGTGCTTGACTGAAGTCTCTTCAGAAGCTGCATTGCAAACAGTGTGCATGGTTTGTGTCTTTCCAAAGTGTGTTTCTGGTGACAATAAAAGTCTTTCCCTTTTGTCTAGAATGCATACACAGCCACGGCTATCAATAGCACCAACTTCTGCACCTCAGCAAAGGATGCCTTTGTCATTTTGGTGGAGAATGCTTTGCGAGTGGCTGCCATCAACACAGTGGGGGACTTCATGTTATTCCTAGGCAAGGTAAGACCAGCTGCATTGTCTGAGACAAACGGGATGTCTTGAGTCAATGTATGAAGTTTTGTTCTTTAATTAAAATCTACCTAGCCTAGCACAAAGCTGGAAGCCATTTGCTATGTGGCAAACATTTATAACACCTTGAATATGCGTTAGATACTTCTTAATTTACTTCATATGTATTATGTTCATTTAATCTTCATAATAAATTTATGAATTAAGCTCTGTTCTTCTCAGTTACCAGGAGCACTGGTACGGCAAGGCTGAATTACCAGCCTATTTCTCTGTATAGATTGTAAACTATAACAAATTAGGAGAGATGATGAGGTAGCTCTGTGGGTAAAGGCACCTGCTGCATAAGTCTGACAACTTGAGTTCGACCCCTAGATCCAGCAGCAATGTAAAGGTTCCACATTCTTGTCTTCTAACCTCCATATGTATGTCATGGCATGGACGTTCCCTCCCCATGATGATACATGTGCACAATTTTCACTGTCTCTCTCTACATACATAGATGCATATGTAGAGATGTGTATATATCTATAGAAACTATGTCTGTCTATATCCGTAGGTACATATATATACATATAGATAGATCTATATACACATATCTATATACATACAGATAACTACATAGCTTGAGAGATGGGGTGTTCTCTCTGTTGTGTAGTCTTGGCTGTCAGAAACTCACTTTGTAGGTCAGACTGACTTTAATCTCACAGAGACCCACCCACCTGTGTCTGCTGGGATTAAAGGTGTGTGATATTTGTTTTTGTTTTTAAGAAGGAATCGGGAGGGATATAGCTGGTTAAATACCTGCCAGCCTATGCAGAGCTACAGCCTCAATCCCCAAAACCACACATACAAAAAGAATTAGGAAACAGTCTTTGTAGTGATGAGACTTGTCTTGACTGCTTCTTGTCAACTTATCACAAACATAGACCTATCTGTGGAGAGGGAATCGTAATTGAGAAAATGCCTACATAAGCTTGGTCTCTAGGTAAGTCTTTGGAAGCATTTTCTTCATTAGTGATTGATGTGGGAAGGCCCAGTCCCTGGGTAGGTGGTCCTGTGTTGTATAAGAAAGTAGGCTGAGCGAATCACCAGAGGCATCACCCTCGATGACTTTAGTCCCTGCCTTCCTTCAGTGGCGGACTGTCACCTGAAGTACAAGATGAAGTGAATGCTTTCCTTTCTGTGTTGCTCTGGGTCATAACAACAGAAAAGTCACTAAGGCAGGGGCAGGACTGCACTTGGAGTCTGGAGTCTAGCTTCCTGGATTTCAATCGTGCTGCTGCCTGCGACTGGTTGTGTGACTGTTGGTACAGTTGGGATAAGAATAGGGACATATTTTTAGTGTGGTGTGGCTTAAACTGGTTAATACATGCAGGGTATCTAGGACAGTGCTTGACACATTGTTAGTTTTTGGTGAATGCTAGCAGTTTTGGGTGACTGTTAGATGTTATTATATAAAAGTCCTTTTAAAATAGAGCTGTTGGGGAACAAGACCTACTTTCTTTAGAGCTGAGAAAAGAGTTTATTCTGTGCCACCAAAATCTCCTAAATCATAAATAGCATTGTACTTAGATTTCATTGCACCAGAAGCTGCTTAGGAAACTGGAAAACAAGGAAAGGATTATAGAGACCCAGCATCTCTAGAATGTTCCTCATGGTGCCTTTGACCCGCCAGTGAAGTCACAGCTTTGTGTTTCTGCAGTGGAGCCGTCATAGCCTATGACCTGTTGTTTCCGTTCTTTCTGCTCATAGTCTCCAACACCCTATCATGACATGATGATCTCCATCTACTCATGGGCAGCGATGGTCACTGTCCCATTAAACACCATTCTTAAACACTGGGTTTTGAAAAGGAAAAAAAGTGGTGTGGTCTAGTGGAAGCATAGCTCTGTACAGCTTGAAGTGTGCAGCTTCATAGGGCGCTGTCATCTGAAAACAGTTAAGGATAATTACTTTGAATATCTGTAATTAAGTTTACATTGTCACAGATTTGCTTGTGGCATGTTTTTATAGGAGAGGGCATTTTTACAGTAAAGGTGAAGTGTATCAGTGGTCCTTAAGGGCCAAGAACAGGGCTTTACAGCGTGAACTGAACGCGACACATGGTGATTCAGCAAGGGCTTAGATTCTTTGTTATATTTGTACTATTTTTATTTACAAATTTATAACTTACCCCTGTAGTTGAAATAGAATGAACAGATACACACGGGGGGCGGGGGCGGGGAGAGCTCAGGGGAATGGCGGATGGATGCGGAGGACTTATACTGCCTGGAGGTCCAGATCATCCCATGGAAGGTGACCTGTTACTGCTATCTTTATATTTTGTAGCAGGCGGAACTAAAGTGTAGAGAAGTCATTACCTGGCCACATTTGAGGACTAGTATTTGGCAACGCAGGACTTGATATTCTGACTTGTCTGATCTGACCGTATATAATCATTATTACAAAGACCCCTGAAAACAGTTATAAATACAAAATAAATGTAGCTTTATTTATAATAGGAACCCTTTGTAAACAGTGTAATGCCAAGTAGTAGAGAAATGGCTTTGTGAGTTTTGCTTCTAACATGCTAGTAATCGGCCTGAAAGGTTTTCTTTGGATTTGTCATATCCTTTTTTCACTCCACGGGTACAGACTGTTTGCCTGTGATGTGCTCGACATCCTGGGCACTGTCTGTGTGCTAACCCAGCTTAGGTGGTAGGGAAAGGAGAAATCACTCTCCTTCTTTCCACTTGAGACTATAAGCATTTCAAGTTTAGTAAAATTTTTCTAAATGTGGTTATACATTTGTATCATTTCTTGACCACTTCTCTGGTGAGCTTTAAAAAAAAAAAACCAGTTAAACTAGTTAAGTTATATTACAATGAAATTTCTTGCGTAAATTCTCCCATATTAATTATTGCTGACTTAATTCAGTCCTAGACACCCAGAAGTGGAATTGATTAGAGTTCTTAATGTGATTTACTAAATTAAAATTTTAATAGTAAAATAAGTGGAGGCTGGAGATAGCTTTGGGGTTAAGAGCATTTACTGCTCTTGCACAGGACCCTGGTTCAGTTCCCAGAATCCCCCAGTGTTTCACAAACATCTGTTAACTCCAGTTCCAGGGAGACTCTCTTCTGGTCTCTGTGGGCACAAGCACATACGTAGTACACATAAATACATGTTTACAAACATGCATACCCGTAAAATTAAAATAAAATCTTTAATAATAACATTATAACATTGAAAGTTACTTTTAAAACAGTAAAATAAGGCAAGTGACGGTGGCACGCACCTTTAGGCCCAGCACTCGAGAGGCAGGTGGATCTTGGCGAGTTCGAGGCCAGTCTGGCCAACAGAGTGAGTTCAAGGACAGCCAGGGCTGTTACATAAAGAAACCCTGTCTTGAAAAACAAACAACAAAAAAAAAAACCTATAAGGTAAATGGGTAAATGTACATTTTAAAAATTAACTCCAATGATTTTTTTAAAATAAAGAAAAATATGTTTCTAACACAGTAAGATAATATTCCTTGTTTTTCTTTTTTGAAAGTATAATTCTGAGCTGGGAGAGCAGCTAAGTAGTAGAAGATTCGGTCCTCTACACCACACACAAACACACACATACAAACTCTATCTCTTCATTTATTAATGATACCTTCATTTATTAATATATGGTAACTTTTAATTTAAAAGTATATATATGTATGTATATATATATACATACATATATACACTTTTCTAATCAGAAATCCTTTAAAAAGAATTTTATTAAACAGTTGCCATCGTATAGAAATGGTTTCTGAGGAGAGTAGCTTAGCTAGGTCACTGTAAACGTTATGAAAGATGATCCCAGGGACAAACTATTGATAATGCAGTAATTTGAATAAAACTTGAAGAAATTGTCCTGAATGGGAAAAAATCTAATCTCAAAAGATTAGTACTGTATACTTTCACTGGTAAGTTGTTGATGGGCAACATTGTGAAATTAGAGATTTCCACAGTGCACTGAGTTTGTGGTCATCTGGTTAAAGATGGCAGCGGGGCTAGTGAGGATAGCTCTGGGCTGGTCAAGTGAAGGACGAGTGATGGTGGGCGTGCTCCTTGTCTGGACTGTGTCAGCATCCGTGTGCCTTGTGGCACTACCTGCAGTAACCTCTGAGCTGGTAAAGGCTGCATGGACTCATTCTGAGTTATTTCTTGTACTTGTTTGTATCATTTCCTCAAATTTAAAATTCATTCCAAAAGTTTTAAAAGAAACAAAAATACGGCATCACTGGTCCTGTTTCTGTAGAGCCCCAGTGTTGGCTACATAATGGTGAGTTACATTTGGCAGAGGCAATAGCTTTCCTAGTTATTAGGCTCGTAGCCTGTGATTATTGGCAAATAGTGTCCTAACAATAATAGAGACTTATAAGCTATAAGTTGAAAGTTTTGTCACAAAAAGCTAGCTATTTGCCCCAATAAAGCTATGTCCCATCAACAAAATGTGTTTTTATTTCTCCTGTGTGAAATTACTTTCCCTTTGTCTTGTAATACCTTTCTTACATTGGTATTATCTTGTAGCTGACAGGTCATTTAAGGAGATGTTTTACTATAAATACTGTTTTATTGGCAAACAGAACTCTCTCAAAATATAGTTTCCCAGGAAAAGGGCATGATAAGTACAGAGCTAAATTTGGGGTGAGGAGTGGGGCAAGGGAGAAACACTGGGCAGGCATTCCATCAGATGTTTTCAGAATTCAGATTTTGCTGTCTTGGAATGTGTGTTCTGTTATGGCTCTTTCAAAGGTTAAGCGGACTTACTTAGGGCACAAAAGCCAAGCATTAGCTGTCATTCACATTCGCATCTTTCCGACTCTAAAACTGGCATTCTTCACGACTGATGTCACACATTCTTACCCAGGGCTTGAATTTCTCTCACTGTCTTCAGATATCTTATCCTCTGGGGTAGAAGTTTAATCAAAAAATAAATAGATTTTTAAAAGTTGTAGCACACTCTGTTATTTGTTTATTTGTCCCGGGAATTGAACCTAGAGCCTTTTATGTGCTATACAGACAATCTACCACCTAAGTCTTGCATTTGCCTTCATTTACGAATGATATGTTACATATTTTACTAACAAGTATTTTGAGTGATGTTTTATAAAAGGAATTTTAAGTGTGTGAGACATTTAATGGACGTTGAATATTCTCTAAAGTGTGCCATGACTGTACTCAGCACTTAGGCACTGCTTCCTGAGATGGAGGCTGAGTCCTTCATCAGTACCTGGGAAACTGTTAAGATGTGTGTCTCTGCGCTTTATCTTTGACTCAGTCAATAGAGCCCAGGAACCTGCATTCCCCACTTCTCCCCAGTTTAAGAACTATTAAGTCATCTGTGTTTGAATACATACATGATCCATCCATTCACTGTACCTTTCTGAGTGGTCTTACATGCGAGTACATGTTTTTAATGTTGTCTTTCTTCTTTAAGCTTGCCATTAAAATATTTTTTTTAAAAAAAAATGTGATCTTCTTTAGTTATATTTTGACCTAATTACTACATTTGTCTCTTGAGAGGAGCTGTCACTTGTTCTTAGAGTTATTTCTCATATGATGTAGCTTTCCATCGTAACCTCTTTGTCTTAATATCTACTTTGAGCCACACTTTTCCTAGAATTGACTTCACCTTTTCAAATATGGTTTAGCTTTAGAAGGATAGCAAGAGCACAATGAACCCCATAGAATGTATAGAATTTGAAGATTGTATTGAAATAACTCATTCAAAACTTGAATCACATGAGTAAAGGAAGGAATATAGTTGACCACATATGGAGGTCACCCTGAAAAGAGGCCACTATAGGAGGTAGTCTGTGGCCATAAAAATAGTGGGGTCTCCCAAAACTCTGGCAGATCTAGCCTTGCTCCATGGAAGCATCTGGAAATGATTGGTTTATAGATGAGTCTGTGCTTCACATGCATTATAACTCAGAGTTACTGAGTAGGTGAAGGAGAGATGCTTTGTTATTGATATTAAGGATGCTTCAAGATACTGCCTGTTCTCAGCACTGGATAAGAAGTGGATCTAGAGCACTTTATTGTTTGTTTGTTTTTAATCTGAAGCCTAGTGCTAAGCTAAACCACGTGCCAGAGAAGAGTGTGTCTAAGATTCAGAATGTTAGTGCCAGACACTTGCTGGGTTTCCACCTGTGAAGAATCCTGGGATCTCAGATACAGAATGCTAGTACCGGATTCTTGCTGGGTTGAGTCCTGGGGTTGGCATCATGTGGGATTGTTTGAATGGAGATTTTTCCTTACTCTGTGGCCTTGGACAGGTTGGCTGATATTTCCGACAGTGTCCCCAGTCTGAGAAATGGGGTTGATAATGTTTAGCATTAAGTATTTGTAACATTATTGGTAAGCTGAAGTAAAATGCCTTAAAAAGAGCTATGAAATACATGGGACAAGGAAGCTTTCGATGGTTCTTCACAATGACCAAACCGATTTTTCTTTCAGTTTTAGCATGTATGTGGATACACCGGGCAACTTTTGCTTCACACATAGTCCCAAACCTAAGCTTCATGGAAAATTACATTATACTTACCTTATATTCCACATGAAATCAAATATGAAACAGAGGACAACTTTGAAGAATAGAGTTGATGGTTGCGGTATCATCTATATCTGAAAACAATATCAATCTCTAATAGTAGGAAAATGGCTAAATAAGTTATGAATCACTCAGAAGATGAAATTATACAATTGAGGAAGTATTTGCCAAATATTTATAATGTTACTCCAGATTGCAATGAAAAGTTTTTTATTGTTTTTGTATATAATATGATTCATATGTGTACGCATACTTTTTAAAAGCCATATACCAATGCCAGCATCAACAATTTTATACATGTAACCCAACTTTTTAAAAATATTCACGCATTTATCTTAAAATTTATTACCAGATTCTGAGTGGGTGAAGTTTTTTATGAACCATACGACATTTGGAAAACTAGGTTACCTTTAATGTAAGCATGGATCATCTAATGTGTATTCTTAAATTTATGTGATGCCCGTGAGTGACTTTCTGTGTAGTTATAGGCAGTATGTACATTTTAATTTGAGGTGGGACAGCCGTGTGCACCCATCACTGATGAAGAGCTCTTTTTAAGTCTGCAGCGATGAAGACGCATGACTGACTGGCGGCCGTGGAGTGTTAACCGTGGTCTCTGCTCTCTCTGCTCCAGGTGCTGATAGTCTGCAGCACGGGCTTGGCTGGGATTATGCTGCTCAACTACCAGCAAGATTACACAGTATGGGTGCTGCCTCTGATCATCGTCTGCCTCTTTGCTTTCCTAGTCGCTCATTGCTTCCTGTCCATTTACGAAATGGTAGTGGATGTATTGTTCTTGTGTTTTGCCATTGATACAAAATATAATGACGGGAGCCCTGGCCGGGAATTCTATATGGATAAAGTGCTGATGGTAAGTGCCTGCCTGAAGTGCTCTCCACGACTTGAGGGATAAACGTGGGAACAGTGTTTTCAAAACACAGTGTGGTGAATTCCCACAGAGAACTCAGTACTAACATTGTAGGGCTTAATCACAAGTCAAGTTTGTCCTGGAAAAATTGAGGTAGGTCTTCCTGTAACGGAAGAGACCATTTCGGATCCACCTGCTGAAGGGTACTCTGAACAGCTCTAAGCACTCACTCTTCCATCCTGTCTGCCCCTCTCTGCACTACACAGAATGGACTTTTAAAACATGTCTTCTAGCCACTGATCCCAGTGTCCTTCCTGAAGTAGTTCTTAAAGACAAAGCCCTTGTTTTCGGATGCTGATTGCCTTTCTCCAGCAACCACTTATCCAAGGCTATTACCACCGACCATGGTTAAACCCACAGGCCAGGTTAAAGGCATCCTAATGAATACAGGGAGCAGCCTATAACTGTCAAGTTTTTTGTACTGACTCTTCATAAGCACACCGTAGCCAGATGTATCTAGGCAGCCCCTGAAGTTTGTCTGTGTTAGAAATTCAGTTGAATTGGGAAAGCAATATTAAAAGGCTCTCAGGGACTGGAGAGCGGTTATGAGCATGTGCGGCTCAGGCAGAGGACCAGGTGTCGGCTCCCCACACTCACGTGGCTCCTGCAGAACTTTGTCACTTCAACTCCAGGGGATCCCACACTCTCTTCTGGCTTCCTTGGGCCCTGCACACACACGGTGCACATATGTACAGGCACTTACCCATGCACATAAGATTTTTTTAAAAATTAAAATATTTTAAAATTGCTGTAAATTCAACTTTATCGTTGCTAAATGGTATCAAACTGAAGATACTTAAGACTGAATATGGTACATTGAAACAGTGAGCGTTTTGTTGTAGTGTGGGGTATCCAGTTGAATCCGAAATAGATGTGTGAATAAAAGAGATTTTTTTTTTTTAAGCTCAGTAGTGGAAAAATTGAAGGTGATTGAACTGCGCTGTTTGATACTGATAGTCCCTGACTGAGAGCATCGTGAACTAAATGTTGGGTGCTTTCCTACGTCCTCAGTGAATTCTGTCTGGTTGCTTTCTGTGGAGTTGTGTCTGCATTTCGATCTCCTGTGACTAGAGCAGTTCAAGGGGCATTGCTGTTAATAACTCTGTGTAGTCATGCTCACCTTGAACTTGTGCTTTTTCCGCCTCCATCTCCTTGGTGTTGGGATTGGAGGCGGGACCCGCCATGCTCTGACGAAAATAGTTTCCCCCTTGATTTTCTTCTGTAGGAATGCTGAGGGTACTGGGGAAGAGTACTCTACAGGCTATGATAGGGCAGCACAGCCCCCTGGGGATGCACCTACTCTAGCCTCTTCTGATCATAAGTTATGCTTGATGCTTCCATGGCTCTGCTTTACAGAGTAATAGCTAGAGCCGGCAATCGCAGGATACAGGTGATAAGGAGGGAATGGTAAGGCTAGAGAGAGACTTTGAAAGTGGCTGACCTGTGGCTTGGTTTCCAGGGTGTAGGGGTGCTGTTTTTTAAGGTATTTTGTGCTTACTAGAACTACTTCTAGGTCTTTGTCATAAGTAGAGACTGGTGAGTGGGGTGTGGGGGTGCACATCTATAATCCTAGGCAGTGCAGGAGAATCGCTGTGAGTTTAAAGCCAGCCTGGGCCATAGAGCGAGTGGCAGGCTGTCAGGGCTGCATAGTGAATCCCTGTCATATATATAATTACAAACCAGAAGCTTTTGAAGCCAACTATTTTTGGTTCATTTTATCTTCATGTGGAAAACAAAACTAAAGAGATATTCTTAGTGTGGGGAAAAGCACACTCCTAAAACTGTTGATTAAAACCAACATTATCTTTTGGAGCCATAGTGAGGATGTCAGAATGGGAATACAGAGGAGATTTTACATCTGTGAATTGCAATCCATCCTGACAAGTTCAGTAATTTACTTGTTCACTCAAGTATTGTTTACCACAGTAAGGTTGCGTCATTAAAATTCACCTGCTGACGGAAATCTGAAAAGATCCCCCACTAATGCCGTGTGGTCCATGTCTTGCAGGAATTTGTGGAAAACAGTAGGAAGGCAATGAAAGAAGCTGGTAAGGGAGGCGTCGCGGATGCCAGAGAGCTAAAGCCCATGGTAGGTGGCACTGAGGAGGTGGCCGCCCTCCACGAGTTCCACTTTCACTACCTCTCTCTCTCTGTCCTCACTGACTGCACGTCCTCTGGAGACGCGTTTGTTACCTGTATCACGCAGGACATGCTGCTTTTTCTGTTTGTCTGCTTACCCATCACGTGGATGGCAGAGCTCGTGTCCCAGCTGAGACCACCATCTGTCAAAGTGAGCTGAAAGGAACAGCGCCTCTGCCAGGCTCAGGGCCAGGGGTGATGGCTTGCTCCAGTCAGAACTGGTCCTCCTGTTTTCTGGCTGTCAGTGTTTAGTTGTCTTCCCACTGGACACTGAGGGGCATGCTTGGAGCAGCAGTTCATTTCCATCATTGTAGAAGGTGACCACGGAAGTTCCTTTCAGCTCGCTAAAGTTCATGTTCCTCCTTTTTTAAAAAAAACGGTATGTTCTGTTTACATTGCTGTCTTACCTCTTTGCAGACTTTTTCTTCTGTTGCTCAGAATGCACTTTCTTTGCCGTTGTTGTTTCTGTTTGTTTGTTTATTTGGTTTGGTTTTGAGTTCCTTTCGCCTGCAAACAAGGAGATTTCCATCAATAGCCACATTCCATCTTGGTAAGACAGCCTGCTCTTCTCACACCTTAGCTGTAAAAGTAATCCGTTTCTCCCGTCAGTCACAGATGACAATAGATTTAGACAGAAAGATGACTAATACTTAGGTAGAGCGACGATCAGCTGAGTACCCCCGTGTTGTTTCTCTTGTAGATATTCTCCTGTAGTGTAATAACACGTCTCAAATCTATACTGGTCTAACTAGAACCATGCTGCCTACCCAGCAGTGACATGAGGAATGTCACTTATACTGCCTGGATGTCCTCATTGTTTAGGAAATAAAGAATCCAAACCTAAAACTTTAAAGGGGCGTGAGTGTGTGTGTGTGTGTGTGTGTGTGTATGTGCACATACATATACACACATACATACTTGCATACATACATTTTAAAAACTGTAAAGATCCTAGCTTGCCTCTACCTCCTTTGTAGAAGTTGAAGCTTCCATTAAATCGATCTTCACTAATAAGCATTTTAAGAAAGACAGAAATACTTAAAAGTTGAAGACCAGTCAATTTGGCCATGGCCTTGGAATGTATTTTCATCATGACTGTTAGTAAGTAGAAGATAAATTGTGGTAGACCAGGACACAAGTATCCCTTCCCTACCGGAAACCCTAATTTATATACACTAATCCTAAGAGAATTGCCTGAGTTACTTAGTGTTCTTTTAGAACCCATGGCCCTACTCTCAATCGTATTTCCAGTTTTTGGCTGTGACCGGCACCCCAAGAAATGTATTAAGATCTTCATTTGAGTTTTGCCTTCACTTTATGTTGTTCATTGGTTCATAGCTTTTTCTACAACCTTTGTCCCCAAACACATCTTTTGTGTGCATTGTCCTTCTGGTGTGTTGGGCACTACAGCCTTTGACCTCCGAGAATGTCTCTCACTGTAAGTAAAGAAGACCCCCTCACCCCCAGAATAGTGGGGAATGTAAGAGGCCAGCCACCTTTCTTAAGCATGCCATTAAACATTTCCCCTCGTGCCCCGTAAACATGATCAGAGTTGACGCCTACTGTCCCCCAGCCTTTGTGTCGTGAGGCATCACCTGAGACCTTCACCACTGGACGTGAACCGCGTGTTCTCATTTTCTGCGGTACTCTTCAGGCAAAAGCTCTCCATGAGAGAGCATCATGTCTGTTTTGTAATATGTATAGCAACATCCACTGCCGCCTGTCTCCCTCCATATGAGCTGTTTTCATTTAGACTTTTTTTATCCTGTACAAATATTTTTAAAAATGAGGTTTTCAGATTGTCCGCTTAATAGGGGATTGTTGAACTAAATAAGAAACTGCCACTTTCCTTCTTGAACTATTTAAGAGAGCCCCACTAGTTTAAAAAACGTTTTAAGATTCTTGAGGTTTCTCTCCAATTAGAAGAGTTTGCTGAATGTAATGCTTTGGAGATCTGCCTGTCTGCTGCCGTTCAAGGATAAGATTTCAGAGGGGCAACCCAAGCTCTCTGGGGGTGTGAGCTGCAGTAGTGGAGGAGTAGGCTGTGCGTGTCTCTGGTGACCCTGAAGGAAGTATGGCCTGCAGTATTCCAGCATCCTAGATTCAAGAGCGGAATCTCAACTTATTTTGCCCTCTTGCTGTTGTGACCATGTGTGTATGCTAATAGCATCGTTCATATCTCCTTTCAATGGTAATTTTCTAAGATTATACTCTGTATGACTTTGTTTTCTAGGCTTCGGGAGCAAGTTCTGCTTGAACGTAGCCGGCGGTTATGGACCCCCCATTGACATTCCAAAACAATATATACACATAACTATGTATTTGTGTGTGTGGGTGTGTGTATATATGTATATGTATGTGTGTATATATATGTATATGTATATACACACACACACATAATCAGCCAAAATCAGAGAAAAGGAACAGGGATTTAATACCTTTTTTATGCTTATTTTTGTCAAACATGTACTCCTTTCATACGGGTGGCTTTTACAAGGCAACTTCCGTCGTTTAATGTTTTCAATTGTAATTGTCTTAATGGAAATGTTAGATTCATATCTGATTAACATTTTTAATAACTAGAGGAAATTTTAACTTTAGTTACTTGACCTAGGTAAAATTATTGTACCAAATTCTTGTGTAAGTTCTTGCAGGGGTGATTGCCCCTGGTGTACGTTAAAAATCAGAATCTTCTTTCACTGATGCGTAAGTCCTAGCGTGTCAGGCTAGGCGTGTGCGCTCAGTCTGTGTCCCCTAATCCAACAAGCCGTGTCATTTTACTTTCAGAAGCATCCGAGTGGGCCCGTTTTGGGAAATTTCATAGTAGCTCATGCATTTTGTCAGCCGACATTCAAAAGTAACCAACTCCTCAGGTATTTGTAGTTTACCCTAATGCTTCTATAGAAGAAAGTAGGACAATAGAGAAAGAAAGGGGTAGATAATCTTTATTATGCAAACTTTTTTCTTGTATTTCGTCTTTTTCTTTTCTGACGTTTTAGTAGCATCCACCACACATTTGTGGGCCTGATTTTAAAGGAAGCTGGGGCACCCAGCAAGTTCAGCCTTTAGTTTCTGTGTATTGATTTTCAGCTTAGGTAGTTCTAGAAGGCATAAAAGAGAGAGAAACACGAAGCATGAAGCATTGAGAATTCCAGTGCTTTGCTTTTGTTTCAGAGGCAAGTCAGGAGCTTAGGGTTAAACGGCCATCTATTCAAATGCTCGCTATAAAATCTGAACACACTGGCAGGTGCTCCACTCCTTGGTCATCCGTTGAGTATCCAGAGTTCTACAATGTGTAACTGAAGAATTGGTTAGTATTAATCCTCAAGTGTGAATGTTCTTTATGTTTGGGGATACATCTGGGGTATTTTGTTTCGCTGGGTTTTTTTTTTTCCTTTCCTAAAGCTTACCAGATATGAATGGCTAATATTCCATTGTTCTGCTTATTGTAATGGTGAATGCTTTAAGAAAAAAAGTGTAATTTGCTAAGAATAATTCATGATCTGTTTATGCGATAACTCCTTTTTGTTACAATTTTTTTAAAAAAAGCTATTTTTGTTAATGTAAAGTAAATATTTCAGAGCAGATTTTTTAAACTTATTGCACTAAATACAGGCTCTGTAAAAAAAAAAAAAAAAGCCTCAGCATTTATCATTCCGTGGAAGGAGAATCTTTTGAAAGAAAGCTTTGCCTGTCAGAACTGGACAGTGAATTAGACTGGTGTTATGGAATTGCATACGATGTCCCGAGGGCTCACTAAGCAGCTGTTTGCTAATGTGCTTCCTTTCAAAGGGTTGGACCTTTAAATTGCTGCAAAAGGTAAATTGTATTTTCTTTTCTAAGTACTGGTGTTCTTTAATCTAGCTAGGCTAAATTTTGCTAAATGCCTTGGTTTCTTTTCAAAGCTCATGAATATTTCTGAACCTTCAGAGTATTTGCAATAAGAGTCTGGATTAAAATGACAACAAACCACACACACACACACACAGTTAAGAGTTCATTTCTAAGCAGGATCCGGGAAACCAGTGTTGAGAGCATAGCGCTTGTGAAATAACCATTTGCCAGAAATTAACATCTAACATCTAGTGTTGCCAAATAGTGTCGCTGTACTTTTATATCATTTGAAATGGAATTTAATTATGTAACCTAACAACTGTCCTACTAGGTGAGAGAGAGAAAAAAATTAGAGTACCGTGTGGCTCACAGCCACCCAGATTTCGGCCATTTAGACACATTGAGAACTAAAGTTAGAATGGGCAGAAGCCTGGAAGATGGGTCTCACAGCAGAAGACATTCCAGGAGCTAGCCATTTTAGGAGGTGTCCCTCCAAAGTGCCGTGATGACGAACTTGAACTTGGGAATCAGGTTCTGCTCACTTGGACGTCCCTGCATCATGGACTCTCGCTGCCCCTGTCCCATGTGCTCGCGATTCCAGCTACTGGGAACCACCAGGAATGCTTTCTAATTATCATTTGCAACTAGAACTGTAATCAGAAAGAAAAATTTGTATTTTTGTATAACTTGATTGTGTGCCATTTTATATAACAGGTCCTGTTTTACAAATAAATTTTGTTTTACTAACATTGTGTTTAGAAACTATGATCTATGTGTAACCATGTCATTTGAATTCAATTAATTTCCAGGCTGTTTTCCCCTGAGTACATTTGTGTGCCACATAGTTATATGCAAATATGCATATCTATTACACAGATGCACACAGAGAGATATTTGATGTATGGAATATCACTCTGCCCTGAGCTCCATTCTTTGATTGATTTTAGAAAGCCTGGCAGAGGCTTTTTAGTAATATGTAAGTGTTCTGCTTGGGTATCCCCGCTGCCTCTTCCATTCATCTGCAAGTCATTCTCCTAGCTATGGGCTGCCTTACTGCCTTGTGCTCACCGCTTCCATCTTCTGCCCAAGTGAGAAGAATAGACCAAGAGCAAAAATTATCTGTGCAATCTGGACACCTGACTAACTTTATAAACCATTTTGTTCTGTAGTGTGACTTCCTCCTTTTTCTGTGATGGTTTCTCAACACCACACTTTGGAGTCCTGTCTCTGGAATTAGACTTGGGGTCTCCTTTTAAAAATGGTAGTGGTGTCCTCGGTGCCACATGATCTCTGCCACCAGACATTTAAGAGCCTGGTGCGTGATTTAGGCCTACTGGACTCCTGCCTCCAGAATAAGTTGTCCTATTACTGTAATGTGGAAGGAAAAAGGTTCAATTTATTTCCGTGTGAATCCATGAGCCCCCATCTTCAACAAGAGGCTTACTAGTGCAATAATAATAAACCATTAACACTTAGCAAGGGCACTGAGATTGTATAATCCCTGCATGGATGAGCAGAGCTCAACACGGGTTGTTCCTTGAAACCATTTAATGCAGTGGTTAATGTTTAGGATTAAAATTTTCATCCTCGCCTACAGATGATAAAAGTTCTAACTCCATGCCATTTAAGTAGCTTAGCTGCCTTGGTTCTCAGTCTTCCCTAATGGAGGTACTTATTGAGTGTATTTAAAAATTATGCTTGAAGTATGTTTTCTTTGATAGAGTTGTTCTTTTACTCTTAGTTTTTCCTTCCTTTCTTATTTCCTTCTTCTTTCAGTGAAAGGCATTAAACTTCTAATTATATAACCTCTGCTCAATACCACGGACCATGTCTGCCTTCTGACACATTCTGAAGATTCCACCCTGGTCAGGCATAGACTACATTATCCTGGTCCTGGGCTGCTTTAAGTGTGACTCATAAATACCTCTCCCTCCTCCGAATAGTACAGGAGATTCGCGCTCCAGGTATCTGCCAGCCAGGTGGTGCCACCACCCCGCTCCACCTCCGGGCCTCAGATATACTGTGCAGAGTCATTTGTCCTGAGTGCGCCTTCAGGAGGTCCCTGTACTATCATCAGAGCAGCATTGTGAAATCAGCTCCAAAACCGGAGCTATTGGCTATGGTGACTTGAACATTTTATTTTATTTTTGACTTCTCATTTGACTTGGGGTCTCCAATAACCCTAGTGTAATTTCTGAGAGGTTTCCTTCTAAAGGTTCTATGAGCTTTCATCTTACTTTTCATAAGTAAGTTCTATGCTGGGGGGGTATAGTTCAGAGACAAGAGACAAGACAGTTGTCACAAGGCCCAGCACCACCCTTCTCCCCTAAAATATCAATTAGTCAGCTCACCGCTTTCCGGTGGCCGCTTGGAAGACAAACACACAGCCAGAAGCCTGGAGGCTTATCAGTGCCCCTGATGCTGTTAATCTCAGTATTCCTTTCATGCCTTCCGTCTGACAGATAGAAGGGCTTGCTACAGTTAAGATGTGGTCCGTGAATATATATTAGAGAATTATGAGATCCGAAGTAAATGCACGAAGCATAGATTTGTGTTCTATATTCATAGCGCAGAATGCCTTTTGCTTTAAATGCATATTCATGTAGCTGTGTATATTACGGAGTTCGTGTTAGCCCTTTTGAAAAGTAGGCATCGTTCATATACAGTGGCTGCTTGCAGAATTAACTTGTCTTCATTTAGTGGCATATGGCCTAGTTTCTGAAAAAGCAGGATCTTTGAGTATGTCAAGAAAAAAAAAGTCTAAAGTTAACAAGCTTGAAAACAAAATGAAAATTCAATATATTATCTATAGTGAAAAGTTTGAGAAAACACGCTTTTCCCATTGGAATTTTATAAATTTGAGCCAAATCTTTATCCCATATTTTAAGAGGATAATTTCAATTCAAAATTTAAAACTTTGAAAATATCTTTTATATAGAAAGCCTCAATGCAGAACTTTTAAACTTGTGTCTCTCTGTGGAACACCTTTTCCGTAGAAGTATTCTTTCTTCCTCTCCATTTTGATTTCTTTACATGCATAACAATAGACCAACGATAGATTTTCTTGCATGAACAATTGCTTCCTTTATAAATTACAAATACAGGATTTGAGTTTGGGTATTTTTTTAGGGGGGCGTGAATTTATTCAAAAGATAAGAAATTGTTAGGGACCCAAATATTACATAGATCTTCAGTTTTTATACTCAGTTTACAACCTAAATGATTTCTTTTCCAGACCAGAAAGCTCAGAAAAAGTCAGGCATTTATTCATAATTTAATCAAGATCCAGGTGATTATGAAAACATTGATTCATTTATCCATGTTCCAGATGTTTTTCTCTTCATGTGCTGGTATCCAAATTTAGTATTTGAAATTCTGAATCCAGTTTGGATGACCATATGGTCCCTTTGCACTTGTGGAAGCTGTGAACTGCCTCCCAAATGTACCTCTCTGCATTTCTCAAACATTCCTCCACGTCCTTAGACCA